ATATTGAAGATATTACAGCAGAGGTGTCATATAATGGAGAGTTGCTTAGTCACCTTGATCTGGAGTGCACTTGAATTTGTTAGCATTTTCATGATGTTTGTTACCACTGCAGAACATAGCATATTCTGACTAATAAAAAAATGATTGTGAGAACTGGTCAGACTCCCTTCCCACACTATGCTTATTTTCTTGTAAGCATTCTCATTTTTTTTCATAAGTGTGTTTTATTACCTATATTTGATAGGAAGTGTTTTGTTTGTTTGTGGTTATATTTGTCAATAGTTCTTCTATTTGTTAGTAGTTGACAATTCCCCTGCACCTAACCAGTGTTCTTATAGTAAATAATAATAACCATTTCACTGAGTTAACATAACAAATAAATAACACAGACTTCTGGAGAAGATTCTAAAGCACAGGCAATAAAAGATAAATAGACAAATGGGATTATATCAAACTAAAAAGCTTCTGTACAGCAAAAGAAACAATTAACAAAGTGAAGAGGCAACCAGCAGAACAGGAGAAAATATTTGTAAACTATTCATCCAACAAGGAATTACTATCCAGAATACAGAAAGAATTTAAACAACTTGTACACCAAAAAAAAAAAAAAAAAACCAAATAAAAAAAGGGGCAAAGGGGGGCCGGCCGGGGGGCGCACTGCTACAGTGCGCCGCTTGGGAGCGCGGTGGCGCTCCCGCCGAGGGTTCGGATCCCACATACAGACCGGTTCCCGCTCACTGGCTGAGTGAGGTGTGGGAGCAACACCGAGGGTTGCGATCCCGTTGCCGGACACGAAAAAAGACAAAAAAAAAAAGGGCAAATGACCTAAATAGACATTTCTCAAAAGAAGACATACAAATGGCCAGCAGGTATAGAAAAATGCTGAACATCACTAATCATCAAGGAAATGCAAATCAAAACCACAGTGATATACCATCTCAACCCAGTTAGAACGGCTATTATCAAAAAGACAAAAAATAACAAATGCTAGCTCAGATGTGGAGAAAAGGGAATTCTTATACATTGTTGGTGGGAATGTAAATTAATACTACCATAATGGAAAAGAGTACAGAAGTTCCTCAAAAAACTAACAATAGAACTACTATATGATCCAGCAATCCCACAGCTGGGTATTTACCCAGAAGAGAGAATTAGCATACCAAAGAGATATCTGCACCCCCATGTTTATTGAAGCACTATTCACACTAGCTAAGACATAGAATCAGCGTAGGTGTTCGTCAACACCTGGATAAAGAAAACGTGGCATATATACACAATGGAATACTACTAAGCCATAAAAAAGAATGAAATACTGTCATTTGCAGCAACATGGATAAGCCTGGAAGATGTCATGTTAAGTAAAATAAGTCAAACAGAGGAAGATAAATACTTGTTCTCAATCATATGTGGGAGCTAAAAAAGTAATGTTGATCTTTTAGAAATAAAGAGTACAATTGTGGTTACTAGAAGCTAGGAAGGAGAGGAGAGAGAGGGAGAGGTTTATCAATGGATACAAAATTACAGCTAAATAGGAAAAATAAGTTCTACTGGTGTATAGAAGTCCTAGGCATCTATAGTAATAATTTATTATATGTTCCGTAGCTAAACATAAGAAGGTCAAATGTTCTCATCACAAAGAAATGGTAAATTTTTGCAATGATGAATTTGCTAACTGCTCTGATTTGATCATTACACATTGTACACATATACTAACATATAACTCTATTCCATAAATATGTATAATCAATTTTTAAAAACTGGAAGAAAAAAAAAAAAAGGCCATGGTGTGCTGGAGCCAGCTTGCTCATGAGAGCTGATGGTTAGTTTTTCAGGAATTTTGTAAGTTTGTTGTTAAACATAGCTATTAAAAATTAAACCATTTAAGTTTATAATTAAATAAACTATATTAAAATAAAGGGAATATATATGCAAAATTCATCACTTCTTAATTAGTTTTCTAGACTTTTACTATTTTCCATTCTCTCAGGATTATTTTCATCTAAATGTATTGGTATAATAGGAATGCTACATAATTGTGTGCTACTTTGCATGTTTACCAACTTTGTGTTCAGTGATGTTGAACGTGGCGAGTATATTTACACCGTGAAAATCAGCAAATACTACAAATGAGGGCATTTCCCCCATACAGCCAGCTGCTAAACACTTGCTAGCATACTACTCCAAAAGGGTGGCAGTGTCGTTCAAATGTGGTTAATGAAGTTTGGGGTAGGGGGAATATTCACAGTATTCCCCAGAATCTGCTCTTATACAATTCCTTTCTAACACAGTACCCTAAATTACCAAGCCCTGTAGTCTGCATGGTACCTTGCCTTCAGCTGCAGGACCGAGCCCTTATTGTCTTAAGCCGGATGGCTATTCCCAAATATCTGACTCCAGTAAGCTTGGTTTGAGGGTGCATTCATGACCCAAATCAGGCCAATTCTTGCCACTAAGGTTGATGTGAGAGACCTGAATTTGAGCTACAGGAAATTCAACCTGTCATTCTGGCTGGGTATAATAAACAAGGGAGCATATAGCACCAGAAGACACTGGTAATCATCTTGTAACTACAAATGAAAGAGAATGCTCAAGAATGCGTATAAGCTAAGAAAGTATAACCAAAAACTGGTGAGAAGAAAAACTAGATTCTGGATCAGGCCTTGTCTGAAAATCTAATCTTAGAGTTTCTGTGAGTCAATGAATTTTCCTTAGCCTTTAGTTAGACTTAAGTGGACTTTTACTCACTTGCATGAAAATGATTCCTTTCTGATACATTACATGAATGAAGTCTATATCTTTAGAAGAGGTAATTGCAGGAAGAAAATAAATACTCTCAGCCCTTCTTCCTTCTTATTATAACTTTGTGTGTCTATATGCCTGACTCTCCAACCAGAGAGCAAGCTCTTTGAAGTCTGAAGTTTTTTGTTGTACATCTTTGTCTGTAGCAACTTAACACAGCACCCTGAAAGTAGGGAGCAAGTTGTAAGTGCTTAATATAGATTTGCTTAATTGAATTGGTTAAGTCAGGAGGAATTGTGCAAGAGGTAGAGTGAATCAGAGTAAATTCCTCTTCTCTTCTTTGGCCAAGTAGCCAATTTGAATCCATCTGTTGTCATTTGTGAGTGTCCCGGGGAAAAAGGAATGAAGCAATGTAGCTCAATAGTTCAACAGTCCAGTCTAGCAACTGGAGGAGGTTGTAGTTTTCTGCTGGGATAGAGTGAAATAAGCCTTGGTCTTAGTTGGCATAAACTCCTTTCCTCTATGTTTTTATGATGCTAACTATCTGGATAAGAACCAAAATGTGCAGTCAACATGCCTCAAAAAATCTAAGCATATGATACCACATTGACAAAATATCCAGTTACTAAACCAGAATTGTCATTGTCTCTCCAGGAGTCTGGGGTTGCTTATGTCCTTGAAAGTGATGACAAGTATGACAGTACCAGAACTATGTGTCACTGTGGCTCTGAATAAAACCAATCCCTTATGACCTGGGGAGGGAGATAGGTATAAAACACTGGCAAATCAAAATGAATGTTTCGGTTACATTTCAAGGCAGAAAGAAAAAATATCCATAGACATAAGAGTGCTGCCTGTTTCTGCTTTCCCACCCCTTTCTTGTTTTCTTTTCTCCACAACCCTATCGCTGTGCAACATGCAATATATCTTTATTTATTTATATTAATTTAACTCTCTCTTCATTTCCCAAAATGTAAGCTCCAGGACTTGTATGTCCTTTTGTTCAGTGATGTATTCCCAGTACCTAAAACAGACTCTGGCACATAGTAAATGCACAAGAAATATTCATTGAACAAATGAATGGCCTGTGTAGGGTGGCTATTTGGCAATCAATTCATTAATGAGAAACTAAAATGTCCTGGTGAAAAACATTTTTTTCCCCCACATTAAATTAAAAGACCCTATGACTTAATGAGCTCTGGCTCAACTACGACCTAAGTGTGTAACTATAAACAATTTGCTTAACATTCTGCCCCCTCACTTCTCCATTTGAAAATGCGGATAACAGTACCAGCCCTATATTCTTTAAAAGCTTTTAAATATCCCTAAAGAGGCAACAGTTGCAAAGGCATTAGGTTAAAGATTCAATGTAGGAGTTCAGTGTGGATGGCTTTTCATAAAATTAAACAATGATCTCAGTGTCCTTTCATTTATTAAGCTGGCAAAATTCCTTTTTTCAGCTTTTGTGCTTATACACGCTAGCAACCAGGCAAATATTCAATTTGCTATATCGTTATTGCTTCAAAAGTATTGGTTTTATGAAGTTTAATTAGCCAACCATTTCCAAACAGAACTGCCATTTCCTACACTTCAAATTTGCCTTCAAAGTCACAAACATTTTAAAGATAAAAATAGACATACTCAACAAATCCAACCTAATATTTATTTTTAAATATGAAATGGGTTTTCTTTAAGGCAATCACCCTTCCCCCCCACCCCCAATATGTTAATAGCAAGCCAGGCTTTTTGTTGGGGAAATTCTATTTGTCCTTTTCCCATTTCCTCCTTCAAGCTAAATTCTAGTTTACAGGGTCTCTCCTTTCAGACTTTAAAAAGAGACCCTGTACCTTTAATAACAGAGACCTGGTGAGAGGTTTCTTTCCAAACTTGTTCCCTGGCTTCCAAGTGACGAAACCAGCTGTAATTTGAGAGCAGAGAGATCCTCGGGATATATTTAGCCAAAGGAAAAGCTCCGCATTCCCACCCAGTCCAGGAGTCGAAATAATATCAGAGGGCAAGAGCCTTTCTGTGCAGCTACATGCTCCATCTCCCAGGAGCAAGGGGGAACTCTGAGATCGGGCAGCAGAGCCAGCGTCTTGCCAGAGCCCTGGAGGAGGGGTTCCCCCCTGCGCCCTGTGATCGGCTGGGAACGAGCCGGCCGAGTTCCAGCCGCAGAGGAGCGCAGGGTGCACCCGCGCTGCTGCGAGCCGTGCTGCCCGGGCGCTGGTGCGCACAGCCACATGAAGCCTGCTGGGGAGGGGCGGCCAGGGTGCAGCAAGCCGGCTGGGGCCCAGGCGGACGCCGACTCAAGGAGGCCTTGACTCCCAAGGGGTCCCCTTTACTTGTGCCTGGGCGAAGAGTCTTCTCCTGGGGTCCCTGGTCATCCTGAATATCCAGAATGGTGTTCCTCAAGTTCCTCTGGATGGGTTTCTTCTGCCACCTGTGCCAGGGCTACTTCGATGGCCCTCTCTACCCGGAGATGTCCAATGGGACTCTGCACCACTACTTCGTGCCCGATGGGGACTATGAGGAGAACGATGACCCCGAGAAGTGTCAGCTGCTCTTCAGGGTGAGTGACCACCGGCGCTGCTCCCCGGGGGAGGGGAGCCAGGCCAGCAGCCTGCTGAGCCTCACCCTGCGGGAGGAGTTCACCGTGCTGGGCCGCCAGGTAGAGGATGCTGGGCGCGTCCTGGAGGGCATCAGCAAGAGCATCTCCTATGACCTGGACGGGGAGGAGAGCTACGGCAAGTACCTGCGGCGGGAAAGCCACCAGATAGGGGACGCCTACTCCAACTCGGACAAATCCCTCACTGAGCTGGAAAGCAAGTTCAAGCAGGGCCAGGAGCAGGACAGCCGCCAGGAGAGCAGGCTCAACGAGGACTTCCTGGGGATGCTGGTCCACACCAGATCCCTGCTGAAGGAAACGCTGGACATCTCTGTGGGGCTCAGGGACAAATACGAGCTGCTGGCTCTCACCATTAGGAGCCACGGGACCCGGCTAGGACGGCTGAAAAACGATTATCTTAAAATATAGGTGGAAAGGCACAAATGCCAGGGAGAGGGAATCAGATCAGCCCTGTTGGGGAGGATGGGGGACAGAAGTCAGGGCTAATTTCACTTATACCTGTTATTTTTTACATCCAGATTTGCACTTTGAGAATGAAACTGAGGTCATTCTTTAAAAGAAAGAAAAAGTTGACAGTTGAGTGTTATGTTTTTTTAGATTTGTTTTTGTACATTATTTATGTGATTGTTTTTGATTTATCACCTGGAAAGAACATTTAAAGTTATGTCTCGTGCCTTTCCTATAGAGCTTTATAACTCTGCAGAGATATCTGTGTCGGTCACATCTAAAAAGACACAGTTTATGCAGTAGGGACCGGTTAAACTTCCCCATCCTGGAGATTATGTGAAAATACCCAAAGAGCATGATGCATTGCTCCTTTCCGCCTTCCGCATTCTCTCTTGGGCTCTGAAAGCTGTCAGAGTTGCCTGTTTTTCAAATGAGGTCCAGCGTGCTGCTACGCATGCCTGCCAGCCATGGAAGCTGCTTGTTTCTTCTTCTCTTTTTCTCTCTTATTTATTAACCAGGATCGGCAAGTCGTTTTTGTTTTTGTTTTTTGTAAGAGTATTGTCAAGAAACTCTCTGCAAGTCATCCTTTGCAAGGAAATTTCTGAGATGCCCCTGTGGGTGTGTGTAAGTTAATGTGGCTGCATTAAAGAAATCTGAGCTTTGAGGTGGTTGCACACTCGTGTCTATATGCTGATTTGCAATGTCTCTCTCTGTATGTCTATGCTTTGTCATCACTGCGCCAGTCAATTACAGAGAAGTAGATAGATTGTTTAAACACACCCCCAAATGCCTGTGATTTAGATTACCAATGTATTCTTTCTCATTTGGGGATTTTGCTTCTGTTTGCTTACTGGAAATTTGTACTTCAAGGAGGGGGGAATCCTAATTCTAATAAACCCTTAGCTAAGTTTTATTATTCAGCCAATAAATATGTTTTCATATAATACTGGCTCATTTTTTAATTGACATCTGTAACTTTTATATTTCAGAGAGGGGCCAGTGCAAAAGGAGAGAGAAGGATAGGGTTTAAGCCAGTTTACTTGGAGTATATGATAAAGGAGGCAGAGCTACACATATAGCAATCCTCCCCTCCCTGGCCACCCTTACCATCCTCACAAGAAAAAAAAAAAAAAGTCTAGCCTGTGCCAGAACTTTAAATTTGATCTCTGCTCATTTACTTAAAAACTCCAATTTTCTTCAATTTTTCCCATAGACTCAACTGGAAAAGTTTATGACAAGGCTCACACCTTATATGTCCTTATCATCCAGAGGGAGTGTTATATTCTGAGTTTATAGGAACTGCATTGGTGGTTAACAATTTGAATCGAGATCTGTGTTATTTAATTTATGGCTTAGAAAGGTGTAAATGTACCTTATTGCATATCTTTCCCTGGCCAATTCTCACCCTTACCTTAAATATGCTTTTCTTTCACATACACACACACACACACACACACACACACACACACACACAGGAAAATAAATAAATGTTCATATTCTTCTATGAAACAGAGAGCCATTTTTTCTCTCCCATATATGAGGAGAATAGTTTTCTACTGCTATGAGTGTCTAATATCCTTGTATTATAGTCATGGAAACTTAGGTCCAAGAAAGATAAGTGACTTACTATCAGATAGTTGTAACTGCCCCAGGCCTCTTAGATTTAAGTACAGGACTGTCCCACAATGCTCTTTTTTCAAGGATAGTGAGAGATGAGAGCGTGGCCTGAGACCTAAACTTTTGCTTAACTATCTTATTGCTTAATTTTTTAAAAAAGAAAGAACAGATGGGGCCGAGCCCGTGGTACACTCGGGAGAGTGTGGCGCTGGGAGCGCAGCAGCACTCCCGCCACGGGTTTGGATCCTATATAGGGATGACCGGTGCGCTCAGAGCGCTCACTGGCTGAGCGGTGCGGCCAGTCTCAAAAAGGACAAAAAAAAAAAAAAAACAGATGGAAGATGCTTAAAATCATTTATAATTTCTTTTCCTCACTCAGGAACCTGTGTTGAGCTGCCTTCTAGACTTGGGTGTGGGAAGAAGGTACATGATCACTTAAAGGGTTTCCTTCTTTACTGTATGAAGAAATTAAGGAAAAAATAATGTCAGGGATAGAGATAACATTTGTCCAAATTCAAGAGCAGCTCCCAAGACGGTGGCTCAGGGCCCACCTGGTGGAGCATATTGAACAAGGAGCCGGGCGTTCAGAGGTGGCAGAGAAAGGCACCGTGGTGTCAGGCTCGCCACAGTGGGAAAACTATGGGAAGGGGGGACAATCTGCTGTCAGCTTGCTCTGTCCTGGGGAGCATCTGTGCTGAGGAGCTGTCCCCAGCAAAGGGGACCCACGTCCTGCCTGCGGGTGAACGGAGGGAGGGCAGAAGCCCCCACGGAGTTTTATGGCCTGCCGGGTGACACGGTGGCTCAGACAGTTTCCCATGATGGCCGCTCCCCGGTGCCGCCAGCTTAAATGTAGTCATGTCAAAGAGGCATGTTTTGGAGTGGAATGCACTGGGTTCCCTCATGTGTCTCATAGAGACAGCACTGTCCCCACCGCCCCATGATTACGAGCCACTGCACTGGGGTCGAGCAGGGGGCAGCTAGGGAGCAACATTTGTTTTCTCTGTGTTCCCATCTGGGAAACTGAGAAGTTGGGGATTATGTAGAAAACGTAACCAGGACAGCGCCCAGTGCAGGGCTGTTGTCCACGCACCTTCAAGATGGTGGGACATCCCAGGGAGGGGGAGGGACAGCACACACCCTCCAGGGGTCACATGTCAGCTGTGACCTTGCAAGGAGGATGCCACCAGGTGGACAGGGCTGCTGTGACCGTGCAGGGAGGATGCCACCAGGGTGGACATTCCTCTTCCTCCTCTTCCTCTCCCTCCTGCTCCCCCTCCTCCCCCTGACTGTCTTTCCTGGGACGATTCCCTGAATGATCCCAGGGGCCGGTCAGTGACGGTCCCTGCAGAGGGCCTGACCCAGAGCTGAACTAAACGTGGGTTTGATGAATTTAGGACAACTTCCCTCAAGGCCCATGCAGAAAACAGGCCTTTATTTACTCCTTTGTGTTTTATTTTGTTTTCCTCATCTTTCCAGAGTTAAAGTAGCAGGGGTGCTGTCTTCCCAGGGAGAGAAAGGGGGAAGTTTGACTCCTGGACACTACGAGAACCCGGCGTCTTTGGGTCTGACGAGACAGACATGTTTCGTGTAGATGCTAAATTAACTGGAGAAGAGACCTTACGATGGGAGATGGGCAGCGGAATAAATCAAATCAAATAGAAAGACGAGCAGTTGTCCAACTGCAACGGGCTTGCAACCCTGAACGTGAACGCGGCTTTTCCTTTAAATGGATACATTTAATCAAGCAACGTTGGTCCACCCTGGGAGCTGGAAGAATTACGGTGATTGTGTTGGAATCATGCCCAAAAGAGGTTTGGCCGGGTTACCTCGTGCAGGCAGGAGCAGCCGGGAGCAAGGGAAGCCCTGAGCCAGCAGCGAGGGACACTGGGGGTGGCAGGTGAGCACCCGTGTCCCCGTACCGCATTGGGGGTGAGAGCCCCGGCCCTGGAATTGCATCTCGTGCATCCTGAGACCCAGGAGAGCAGGACGAGGCGGGGCTGGAGGGGACGGGGAAGATGGCTGGAGGGGACGAGGCGGGGCTGGAGGGGACGAGGCGGGGCTGGAGAGGCCTTGGTGAAGGAGGGGATGGGGAGGATGGCTGGGAGGGAGGAATAGAGGGACAGGAGCTGTGTCAGCCACAGTGACAAGCCCGCGCGTGTGTGGTGATGCCTTTGATGCAGGCCTGTCGTGACAGGCAGTGCTCTCTAGAGGGAAAGTGTCCTGAGCAACTTTCTGGAATTTCCTTCTCAGAAATAAGTGCACCAGATTGGACTTTTAGAACCTCATGTCTGACAGCGGGACACAAACCGACCAAACACAGCGATCAAGTCAGATAACACAACATGCTGGGGACGTGTGACTTCCACCTCGCCTGTGTGACAAACAAGGGGCTTTTCGGCATCTGAGCAAAAGTGCCTTCTGTGTCCCCTGCTGTGGCTGCTGGTCGTCAGCACCGGGAGCAGCCACCAGGAGAGCAGGGAGGTGGGGGTGGGGTCCAGTGCTGGAGTCCTGACACCTGCCCCTCACCTGTCCCGGGGCACGGGAGTGCACCCAGCACCCCTCCCCTCTCTTTTACAAAAAGAGGTCTCGAGGAAAGCTTTGTGTTTTGTTTTTAAAGTGTATAATTCAGTGGCTTTTAGTACATTCACAGTTGTGCCACCGTCGCCACAAGCGGTTTTAGAGCATTTCCCTCACACCCTGTGGCCATGACTCCCCCGCTACCCCCAGCCTGGGTAATTTCTAATAAACAAAAATTTATTGGTTCACAGTTCTTGAGGCTGGAAAGTCCAAGATCAAGGTGCTGACGTGTGGTGAGGGTCTTCTTGCTGTTTCATCACAGTTAGAAGGCAAGAGGGTGAGAGAGAGCAAGAGGGGGCAGAAATCGCCCTTATATAATGCCACCAGGTACCAATCACACCCACAAGAGTGCAGCCCTCATGGCCTAATCACCTCCAAAGGGCATTACTTATTAATACTGTTACAATGGCAATTAAATTTCAACATGAGTTTCAGAGGGGACAAATAAACCATAGCACAAGGTAAATAAAATAAGGATTTGGCATAATCACATATTCAAGAGATGTAGGGGTTTTATTGTCACTGTTAATGTTGCTGTTATTTTGCCTTTTTAATAGAATTTTGTTTCTGATTACAAAAGCTACTTCTGCTGAATACTAATGACATAGAAAGCACAGTAAGCACAAGGAAGACAAAATTATTTATATTGTTAAACTGTTTCTGCCATATACCGACTACTTGCATTTTGGCATACATTCTTTCAGTACTTTTCATGCATATCTATGTATACATTTTTTTCTTTGGAAAAAATGAAATGGTAATGAACACACTGTTTTGTCATCGATGTCTATTTTACTTGTTAAATATGTTTAACTGCATGAAACTTTAAAAAATTCTTAGATCTACCACTAATGCTTTAGGAGGCAGAAGTTTTGGATTCTATATCTTGCCACACAGTATATAAGCCTTGCAACTTTGAATGAGTCCCTTAAATGTTTTGTAAGTAAGTCATTTGTTTGCAAAAGGGAGATAATAATAGCCAGTATTTATTGAACGGGCACTGCTCAAAATGTTTTCCATATATTATCTTATATAATTTTCTCAAAATTATATTTTAGGTAGGTATTATATTTTTAAAATTTTTCAGATGAGGAAACTGAGATAGAAAGAGGTTAAGTGACTTGCCTAAGTTTTGAAACTAGAAAAGAGTGGAGTCAACATCCAAACACAGGTAGTCTGACCTAAACTTCTCTAACCACTAAATGGTACTTTGCTAAAGGCAAGAGATTGGACACACGATTTGTTAATTTCCATTCTATTCTAGGATCTATAATAAATGGCCTGTGAAATGAATATTTTGCTTATATTATTTCTTTAACATAAAAAAATATCTTTCTCTCAAAGAAATT